GTGTGTGTGTGTGTGTGTGTGTGTGTGTGTGTGTGTGTGTGTGTGTGAGAATGACAATATTATATATTTTTAAATATTTTACCAGGCATTGTAATGAATCTGCTTCACATCAACAAAACTATGTCTGAATATTAAACCTAACTGTGTAAAATCAAGATTAGAATGAATCATAAAGAAACCATTTAGAATTTATATTTAGAGTCATGGGCAGCACGGTGGCGCAACTGGTAGAGCTGCTGCCTCTCAGCGAACTGGTCCCTGGTTCAAACCCCAGTCCAGGGGCCTTCTGGGTGGAGTTTGCATGTTCTCTCCGTGCATGCGTGGGTTTTCTCCGGGTACTCCGGTTTCCTTCCACAGACCAAAAACATGCATGTTAGGCTGATTGGTAACTCTAAATTGTCCCTAGGTGTGAGTGAGAGAGTGAATGGTTGTTTGTCTCGTTTGTCTCTATATGTCCCTGTGATGGACTGGAGACCTGTCCAGGGTGTACCCCGCCCCTCACACAGTGATTGCTGGACATGGGCACCAGCGACCCCCGTGACCCAAAATGGAATAAACGGGTAAAGATAATGGATGGATGGATGGATTTAGAGTCATATTGTTCACAATTCAAATGTTTTGTTTTGCAGTGTTTTCAGTGTTAAAGCCTGTCTTGAGCTTCTGCGTTTGTTTCCTGTGGCATATTAAACACAGCAGATTGTGTTGTGATGCAGATTTAATCTAAATGTTGCTACTGGAGCCTTAAGAGTATCAAAACTGGATAATTGTAGCTGCTTTCTAGTTTTAGTGTGATGTTTTGGCCTTTTTTTTCCATTTTGTAAAAATAATCTAAAGTTTAAAAATGACACATTCAAATCCAGAAGCTTTAATTTATTGTTTACAATTGCAAAATGTTTCCTGTGTATATTAGAGCTGTTGAATATTTTTCTGACTTCATTTGTTCAGTAAGCTGAGTTTTCAGGATTTAAATATGTTTCTAGTTTTAAAAAAAAAACAGGCATGTGAAAATTATAAATAAGTCCAGGCAAAAATAAGAAATATAAGATTCTGAATGTGAGTAGGAAGTGCAAAAAAGAAGTCATGTCAAAGACTTAAAAAAGAAATTAATTATTTTGTCTTTTTGTTTTTTGGATTCAGTGAATCCAACATTTGGTTTAAAATAAAAAATACAAAAAAATGTGAAATTGTTTACGTTTAAAAGGCATATTTATTTTAAAGTTATGAAGTTGGTGAATAAATGTTGCTTTATAAAGACTTGGCAGTTCTTGGAGAATGCATATCGCCCATCGCCTTTAATGCCCCTTTCAAGCTAAGAGCTGCCATTTTGGTCAGATATCGTGCTCAGACTCATGGGACGTTGTGAGAAGTCGGAGTATATGCATGGTCAAAGTGGTTCAAAATATCCTGATGCATGCTCAATTATCCAGGTAGAAAAATCTAAAAACAGTTAAATCTGGTCCTCTGGACATTCAAAAAAAAAAAAAATTGTGGAAACGTTTCGTCTTTCATCTGAAAGACTTCCTCAGTCTGTACTCATCCCTTTAGTTGGCAGCTCAGAACACCACATACAGAACACCATGGACTTTGTGGATAAGGTGAGGGATGTCATCATGGAGACTGATGAAACAATGGTCTCTTTTGATGTCACATCACTCTTTACGTGCATTCCTGTTGATGATGCAGTAGAGGTGGTCAGTTTAAAATTAAAATCAGACACCACTCTGAGCAGCAGGACCACACTTTCCACAGAACAACTGTGTCAACTCTTGAAACTGTGCCTGCAGTCAACCTACTTCACATATGGGGAGCAATATTATAGGCAGAAACATGGGTGTGCTATGGGGTCTCCAGTTTCTCCTATTGTTGCCAACCTGTACATGGAGGAGGTAGAAAAGAGAGCCTTGACGTCCTTTTCAGGGACACCACCAAGTCATTGGTTCAGGTATGATGACGACACCTGGGTTAAAATCAAATCTCAGGAAGTTCAACATTTTACTGACCACATCAACTCTGTGGATAAATACATCAAGTTCACACGAGAAGATGTAAAAAATGACTGTGAGGTCTCAGTCTCTGATAGAGGACATTTGCAAACTGAGGTGTACCGCAAACCCACCCACACAGACCAGTATTTGCAGTTTGACTCCCATCACCCTTTGGAGCACAAGTTAGGAGTCATCAGGACTCTGTACCACAGAGCAGACAGCGTCCCCACTAACTCAGGAGCCAGGCAGAAGGAGAAATCCTACACAAAACAGGCTCTAGAGCAATGTGGATATCCTAACTGGGCCTTCCTGAAAGAAGAAACCCAAACAGGACTCCAGTCAGCCATCAGGTGAAAAGGAGGAACCCAGACCCAGACCAGTGGTCATTCCGTATGTTGAGGGAGTATCAGAGAAACTGAGACGTTTATTTTCTAAACATAACGTCCCAGTGGCTTTTAAACCCCAAAATACATTACGGCAAAGACTGGTTCATCCCAAAGATCCAGTCCCCCGGCACAAACAGAGTAATGTTGTGTATGCTGTTCAGTGTCAGGAGGGCTGTGATCAGTCTTACATCGGGGAAACTAAACAGCCACTGGCCAAAAGGATGGCCCAGCACAGAAGATCAACATCATCAGGCCAGGACTCTGCGGTCTACACTCATCTCCAGGCCAGCGGTCACTCTTTCAGGGATGAAGATGTTCACATCCTGGATAGAGATCTCCATCTACTCGATAAGATGTACTCACATGAAAATAGGCTGTGTTCTGTTCAGGTGGCATGTTGGGAATTGCTCTCAGCTACCACCACACCAAACTTTAGTTAGATATGTCTAATAACGCATTTGTGTTATTAAAAACCTTTGCAGCTCACCAGCATTAAAATGAGCTCTGTTTAACTGTATAATCAACTTTTGTAAACAGCTTAATTCAGCTCAGACTGGCTAAAATGACATATTTATATTGAAACTAAACCCATTTAATTAAGAATCCCACAAATAATTTCTTAAATGTTGAGCTGTCATTTAAATAAAAGACAAGTTATTCACTGTAACACAGTTCAGAGACCCACGGTGCTTTCGCTGAAAACACCATTACAATTACAAACACGCAGCTCAAGTTAGAAAGTCCACGAAAATATGAGTACACTCTGTCCACTTGTTGAGAGAAATGAAAGGGCGTCAAGTTAAGGCTTGCCTGACATACTTTTTTTGCAGGCTGCAGCCAATCCGCCATCACATCCGCCGCGTCACTCAGACGCTAGCACCGCCTTCACGTGACGTCATAATCCTTCACACATATGTAGGCAGTCGCTAGTTACCCAACGCCATCGATCGAAACTAAAAGGAGGCGAGCGCTCTTGATCAAGAAACTCGACTTGATATACGCACTTTATTCAGCTTCAGCAGTGAACGGGAAGAACTTTATATAGAGAGTTGAAACTGCGCAGAATTAGTCGTCGAAAGAGTGCGTTACGTTTGGTTTGTTAGCCGCTCTACGCACGTAGGTTTAGCCCGCTAGCTAGCAGGCTAACAGCGCTAGCGAGAGAAAGAAAGGCCGTCGCGTTGACCCGGCCTCGATTATTTATTAAAGGAAATCACCCTGGCATATCACTGCTACCCCCTGTAGTGGTTGGATCGGAAAACGTTAAAGACGAGAACATCTTGAGAGGATGGCTCTGAAAAGAATTCACAAGGTAAGATAACATCGTAAAAATGTAAGCTAACAGTTAGCTTACCGGGCTAGCCTTCCACAATGCAACCAGCACATCCTGTAAAACCAGGCGGTGAAGCGTGTTCGACGAAGCGTCAGCTTCACGGGTTGTTCCTCTATGAGAGAAACCATTTGGAGTGTAGTGTTTGTAAAGTGACTACAATTTTTACTTTTACCGAATAATGATTGACCACAGGCCGATGTTAACTTGTCAAACACGGATATAACTTGTTAGCTTTTGACGTTCGCAGTTTTTGGCTCAGCGAGTTAAGCGAGAAGAAAAGTCTTCCGACTCTTCCTGTTTTCACAGTCATGTAATGTTTTCTGACTCTTCAGTAACGAACCGAAAGAAAAGCGGAGTCTGTGAAAAGATTTCCTTTAAACTATTTTCTAGTTACCAGAACTCATGACTCATATCGTTCTGGATCTGGCTTCGTTAAGTATGTGATGCACTTCGCTGGAATGTAACATGTTTTTTTTGTGTTTGTGTGTGTAGGTAAATTCACATTTTCGATTTTGTTAAACTTGACAATTTAATAAGGAGTATTATCAACAAAACGTATGTTTGTCACAGGGTCTTCCTTTCTTCACCTTGTTGACTAGAATCTTCCTTCAAGGAAATCTCTCAAGCAGCCTGTGAAATGGTGTCTGAAGGCCAGGGTGGAGCAATGCCTCCACCCCTCAGAAATAGACGTGCACCTATAAATAACTGGCAATAGTAAACTAAATATGCATGGCTCTAGTTTTGGTGTTTAATGAAGCAATAATAGTGACACCTGACCCAGAACTAGTGCAGAGTTAACTTGATGAAAAGTAGCCTATGCTGTGCTCTTTACACTGACCTTTTGTGGGGCCTTTTGTCAATTGTGTCCTTTTTTATGTGTCGTATCAAAATTACATATAGCTAATTTATAAACTTTTTGTTACAGGAACTGAATGACCTGGCTCGTGACCCTCCAGCCCAGTGCTCAGCTGGGCCAGTGGGTGATGACAGTAAGTGTCTTTCTTTATACAGACTGTTTAAGAAACATTTGAAATGTCTTATGACACAACAGAATTTGCAACTCAAAATATACACATTTGTATAGTTTAAAACCTGCCCTTTTACTGCGAGCATAGCCACCTCTAGAACCAGGTGAAACCCAAATGGGTGCTGCCAGGAAGCTGCGAGGAGCAGTTCAATTCCTGTCGGATCACATACTTTTGACCTTTTCACCATTTACTAACATTTACTTTCTGTTCTCTTAGTGTTTCACTGGCAAGCCACGATCATGGGACCTGTAAGTATTTTATGAGACCAATCATTAAACCATAAAGTTGAAGGATGTTGAATCTTGATACATGCTGTTCAATAAATATATTTGAGATAAAGGTCCAAATGTGACTTTAAAGTGGAGGCTGTGGTCAAAAGATGTAGGTGCTTTCTTTCTGAAATGAATTTGTGCTCTTGTTTCAGAGTGACAGTCCATATCAGGGGGGAGTTTTCTTCTTGACAATTCATTTTCCAACAGACTACCCTTTCAAACCACCCAAGGTGGGTTGGTGTTTTAATGTATCCTATTTTCCTGTTTGTGTGAATATCAGCACTTTTTTTTTTTAAATTATTTTCTTCCAACTAAGTATCTTGGCATGTAAAGGGAAATGTGAAGGAATGTTTGTATTTAAAAATGAAATGGGCAAATAAGCTTGGAGCTCGTTCGTACAGGAAAGGAAAAAACCAACACGCCTGCCATTCCTGAACCTGACAGATCACACACTGTTTTACACAAAGGAATTTAAATATGTAACACTGACAGGTTGTATGACTGCATTATTTAACATCTTTTTTCCAAATAATTAAGAACAATCCCTCTCTCTGCCAGGTTGCATTTACAACAAGAATTTACCACCCAAATATTAACAGTAACGGCAGTATCTGTCTGGATATTCTCAGATCGCAGTGGTCTCCTGCACTTACTATTTCTAAAGGTATGACAAGTTGCACAAAGAAGACACTTGTGTAAAGACCTTTTATGTAAAGGATAAAAGTATTTTTGGTAGTTTGTGGAAGTTCAAAATGCATGATCAATTTAAATAATATGTCAAAACTTTGACTCGATGTCTTCAGGGTCACTGTTCATATTCTTATTTCTTTTCCTTTCAGTTCTTCTCTCAATTTGCTCACTCTTATGTGACCCAAATCCTGACGACCCACTAGTGCCAGAGATTGCACGAATCTACAAAACAGATAGTCAGAAGTAAGTACATGAGATAAAATTGGCTAAACGGGTGTATCTGGTTTCACTTTTGAAAACAGCCATAAAGATCATATTTCTGGAGTGTGAAAACGATTATCTTTGTATTTAAAGACCTTATTAGAGCAAATAACTTTAAATCAACAAGGCACTATTAATCTGGTTTCATTTTGCTGTTAGGTACAATAGACTAGCTCAGGAGTGGACAACAAAGTATGCCATGCTTTAGGCGGGTAAGGCCATGAGCCAGCGCTGCATGTTGGCCCTGAGGCTGCGTGTGTGTGAGGCTCTGGTGTCCGTGGCCTCACCGCAGCTTTGTGTCAGATCTGTTCTGTCAGCACATGGACAGTAACATTACTGAGACTCGGGCTCTTAACACGCTTCCTGACTTTGTGCATTATTCTGTTTTTGCTTTTTGGTCTTTGAGTTATGAGTGTTAAATTAGAGTTGAATGTTTCAACGTCAGATCAAATTGTTTTTTAAGGTTTTTGTGTAATTTTTAGTTTTTGTACACATCTAGGACTGTTATAGTCTTCTATTAAAGAAATGCTATAAACGTGCCAAAATGTTGCTATAAAATATTTACAATCCAACACTTGTGACCTGAATTATTGTGTAATCTCATTTCAGATGTTTTTTATTTTTATTTTTTTTATGGTGTCATGTTTTTGTTTTCTCACTGTAATTTGTAATTTGTGCAGCACTTTGGCCAACAAATTTGATTTGGACTTTGGCGCATCTCACTGTGCATCTTAAACTCAAAGTTGTTAATAATTTTGCATGTAAGCAAGGCCACTAACTGAAATGAAAACATTTCTCAGTGAATTGCTTGACTTTTGGGGGGAGGGGGCATGTATGAAGAAAGTATCTGGCTTTAAAACCAGAAACATGGGCTGTTTGAAAAGATGTTTGCTTTTTGTATGTGGGTGGGATTCGTGCTTGACCTCTGACACGTTGAAACTGACTTTGCTCCTTTTTTTATTGCAGATACATCAAAATGGCAAAAGAATGGACACAAAAATACGCAATGTGATGGCACAGGTTGGAAAGCAAGTGGAAAATGTTGCTGGTTCAAACTTAAAATTATGGGATTTTGTTTTCTTTCTTTTTTTAAAAAACATTTTTGTTAATGCATCTTATTTGCCCCCCTCTTTTTTTATATTCCTCCTGTGTGCTCATAAGACGATAATGAGGTTTTTTTGTTGTTGTTCCTTCTAGGTTATATACCAGTTTCTGTAAAATTGCAATTCCCTTTTGAGTTTAAGGTTCAACACAGCGTGAGCGTGCTTCAAGTTCCTCAACCACAAATTGATCCAAATATTTTACACATGTTTAGGACTCTGCAGCTGGTCTCCTGAGACTTTGTCTAATCAAACCCATGATGATCCAGTTTCTTACTTTTAACTGGGTCTCCAAGAGCACTTGAAGCAAAGCATGCATTTTAACTATTTGGTTTCAAATTGGCATAGTCCTGCTGCATTTGATATAAAACTGGAATTTGTGAGTGAAAAGAGTGAAAGAAAATTAACTGTTCTCTGCCTCAAGTGGTGTGGCATGAGTCTGTTCTGATCGATGGTGTACGAGCTGATATTTAATGAGAAACGTCTTATTCCACTTTCCAAGTGTGTACAGAGAAGCTCAGTGGTATATATCATTAAGGAAACAAAAATATAAGAACTTCAATGTTGTATTTTATGCATGTTAATAAAGGTAGGCTATTCTATGATGTTTCTGCAAATAAAATGAAGGTTGAATCATTGGAGGAAAGAAATTGGTTTCCCATAAAAGTTTTTTACTTTAATTTTTTTCTTTAGAAGCCAGTAGATAAGCAGCTTTCTGCCCACTTGAACACGGTCTTCTTGTAGCCCTGAAATATTGATACAAAGCTAATGGTTGACGATCAACTTGTGGCTTTCTTTTTAGTTTTCCCTCCAATAAAGTTACTACAACCATAAGTAACCTTCGGCTCTGTTTTTGTTTTAAAGTGCTTGAACTTCCTGTTTCACTGAGTTTAAAACAATATGTCAAATTTCTTAAACATTTAAGATGTTTCTTCCACTTGTTTATGTAGGATGTCACTGGCACTTTGAAAGAATCATTTATGGTTCCTAAGAAAGTCTTTTAATGTTTGCCTCAATTTAGATAAAAAAATTGTAAACGTTTACTAAATTTCTAACATCCAGACATGGTTAAAATGATTTGGTACATTTTTATGTTTCAATTTTTACAAATGCAAAAAGTTTGTTTTAAATTTATAACTGCAAGAAATTTAAGGCTTGTATTGTAATTACACACCAGAGGTCGTCTCAGGGCACTGAACACAAACATTCACATTAAGTTGGTTATCATCTGAGGAGCCAGCAGGCGTGTCGACTTCATTCTGTTACAGGCTCATCTTGAGCAAGCTCGAAGGCGACGGTGGAAAGGAAAAACTCCCTCATGAGGAAGAAACTTCCAGAAGAACCAGCTCAGGACAAGAGGCCATCTGCTTTGATCGCTGGGTTTGAAAGGATGGCAAGAAGAAATGGACAGTGGCAGGTCCAGGATGGAGGCGATCAGGATTTTCTCTAGGTGGAAAGAAAAAGCGTCAATATAGAAACGATTCCAAATGCAGACTTTTCATTTTGTAACTAAAGTATTCATTTGATGAAATTAGGTCAATTCATAACCTATAGCAGCATAACTAAGGGCTAGATGGTTCCACAAGAGAAGAGCCTGATGACTGAAAGATCTTCCTCCCATTCTGCTTTTGGAAACTAGGAGCAACAAGTAAACGCGAATATGTACGTACAGTCGTCTGAAAGATGGGCGGAGTGCACGAAGCTGCAACTAGAGGAGAGCGCGGCCATTTTATCCTTATCAAATAATAATCTTCGATAGGAAAAGGAGGAGAAACATGAGGGTAGATCGTGGTATTACAAAAAAAGATCTTTCACATCTTGTCTATCAGGACACGATTTGAGACATCAAAAAACTACCAGCAGCTCAATTAAAACATGATTACATTTGACATCAAGGTGTTGAGATTTGTCTGTCCATGAGCGTTTTTTCTGATCAGCCACAGTTTTTGAAGATGTCGTTCCAGCCAGCAGTTCTGATAAGCTTGCACAGAAAGTTCTGGGGGGGGGGGGGGGTGCGGGGGAAGGGGGGGGGGGTTAGATGAAGCTTTTGTCCTTGGGTACTCATGTCCCAGGAGAAATTTGATGGTCAGCCTGTCTCCGAGGGCATTGGGAGTCTGATTCAGATAAGCTTGATTTTTGTTTTTTCTTCAGGCAGACAATATTTTTTTCTTCAGCCTTGAGTCCATCTGGGCGTTCTGGTTCCGAAAAAGCCTAATTGTGGAATTTAATTCCACTGATCCATGCTATGAGTCTCCTTCAAGGTCGAACCCACCACGCTGACGAGTCCCAGAAGCTGCAGGTGGTCTGCGATTCTCAATCGCCTCCACCTTACATTTAAGCTCGTAGACCAGATGATTTAAAGTTCCCACAGCGAGGACCAGACCTTCACACTGACTCGGAAGCTTTTCCATGGCCCAAACTGCTCCCGCTGTCTTCTTCAAAAGTCGATAAAACAGAGCTCCGCCGATGCCAAAAAGCAGAGTCCCTGCTATCATAAATCCAAATATGTAAACGTCTTCAACATCCTCCTGAGACAGGACTGCAATGCACATCAATTGCCACACTCCCCACGAATCCATGACGTAATATAAAACTAGATCTGTAATATATGATGGAGCTAGGTTGTTGAGAGCTTTGTAGGTTAAAAGTAAGATGAATTCAATTCTGAATTTGTCAGGGAGCCAATGGAGAGAAGCTAAAACTGGAGAGAGATGATCTCTCCCACTCAGGGGCGGACTGGGACAATAATCCAGGCCGGGAATTTTGATACCATCCCAGGCCACCACCACCTGATTAACGCAAACCACCAAGACCGAGTTCAATTGAGCGCACTTTGAATGCATGTTGTTTGCACACGTCTAACTGAATACCTACATAAATCTTTCTTCTGTGGTGCAATAATCCATCCTCAAATCACATAAACTGAAATTATGTTGCCCTATATTTTGCTATGCATAAGACTGAACTTAGTTTTTTGGATTAAAGACAAAAGTTTCAACAAGTTTTTTTTTTATTTGTCCAGAGGACCTGACTTAACTTTTTTAGATACAAAAAAATCTGAATTCCTAGACATTTCAACATTAAACTTTTTTCAGATCCTAACCCATATTATAAAATTTGCAATATTCTTTGTAAAAACTTAAAAACATTTGTTATATTAAGTCAGTTTTGGCCCACTTAGGTCCCTCAAAGTGAAGCTAGCATGTGGATATTAAGCTGTGCTGATAAACTGTGCCAGAGTTCAATTTTTTCAACACAAGTGTTTCTCTTACCTGCTCCATTACGAACAAACATTAATTTATAGCACTTAGCACTCTCTGGCAGCAGCATTCACGCAGACTCTCTCACTGGTACATTTTCATTTTTAAAACTTCTTGGTCTGCTGCCTTCATACATCTCCTCCTACAAGTCTCTGTGAGTGCAGCTACAGCGTGCGCTCTCAGGACATTATTACTTGCAGTGTTCCCTCAGTGAGGTCTGAACTTGGCTAAAGGGTCTTCTCCTACTCTGCTCCTGTTTCCTGGAATATCTTGCAAAAAGACCTGAAGCTCTTGACCTTGACCTCTCAACCCTGTTAAATTCCTGGTCAAAAACAATGCAGACATGTTCCTTTTTTTTTTTTACACTGCCTTATAATCTAGCTGGGGGTGTTTTTTTTTGGGGGCGGGGGGGGGGGGGTGGGGTTCAATACTTTTTCCTTTTGACTGTCCTTTTGGTTGCCATTTTATTTTAATTTGTAAATAAAATAAATAAATTTGTACGCCTCTTATATATCTAGACATGATCAATGATATTTTATCTTTCAAATCACGTCTAGATATTTTCTATCAAACTGATAAAAGTTAAGCAGTTTCTGCAATTTTACACCAAATTTGAATTCGTATTGCCAGCTGATTTATGAGGTTTGTCCCAATTTCAGAAAACATTTGCGTCTCTGTCAGACAACAGTAGTGGGTTTGGGTTAATCCACCTGTTTTAGAGTTTTAGTGTTTAGAATAAAACCTTTTCGGCAGAATGTCTCCCGTCCCGCTGTGGTTGATTGGCTACACTCGGTTTACAGCCCGGCTGACAAAAACGTCTGGTGGGCGGATTTTACCTATAAAGCCCTGAAGGGAAACCCCGCCCTTAGTTATTCGTCATCATTTCCACCCTGCTCATCATCCGACTAAATTTAAAGGAAATGCGCACGCTGTCACGGGTGGCACGTGACAAGTACAACCCTTAGATCGTTAGATGTAAACAGAACCCATTTTCATGGTGTTTGGTGCAAAACATAGTGTAAAACAAAAAGTTAAGATTAGATTTTCGTATTTACGATGCGCACAACACGCCAGTCGTCATGACGCAACATCCGCAGCCTGTTCTCTGTGTGCTGCTCAGCTTGGCTTTGGGAGTTTGCTCGAAACTTTCTCCATTTGCCGCGCAGCACCTGGAGTTGTCTCTGAACGGGAAATGGCGGCTGTCGAGCTCCAACGGGTCTCTGTCGCTGCCGGCGCAGGTGCCTGGCTGCGTTCACTCGGCGCTGCTGCAGCAGCGGTACATCCAGGTAGGACGAGACTCGAGCTGGATCATCAAGCCTGCATCGGAACCGGGCCAACAGTAATACATTTAGTACTGCAATGCATTAATATTTAGATATATTATTTATATTTAATGTTTAGATATTACATTTTAAACTTAAAAATATCAAAATGCCAGCACTGTAAATTCCAACTTTCTGGGGTGCATTTAAACTTTGCATGATGTCATTATTCAAGTTGCTGGTGAAGATTCTCAGTCATCCAGGACATAAAGTCCAGTTGTTTTTGTATTGAACGCTTTTTGAATTATTCAAGTTCAACCAAAATCCCATTTGATCTCATTCCTTAATTTTAATTTAATTTTTTACTTTTTTTTTGTGTGCAAATGTTGTCTTTTTTGCCACCAAATATCAGAGCGCCCAATTTCCAATTGAGCCCTATGTTTTAGTCTATTTGCAGTTTTTAAAAATAATTATTTTCAAAGCTTAAAGACAAATATTTTGTGCAGAATAACAAGAACAAGCGTGCTTATGCATTGACAACACTCACACTGCAAATGCTTCCTAATGTCACTTTCCTAGAACATATTGATCCAAAGTACAGGGTACTGCATATTTAAAAGAATAATCCACCTTGAGTAAAGTAATTTTAGATCTTTATGCACAAAGTACTCCACTTCAAATTAAATGTTGCTGCATTCTATAGACATAAATAATATGTAACATTGCACAGATGTTTTTTTTTCTTCTGGTTATTCTGATGGTGCAACACGGTGGTGCAGTTGGTAGAGCTGTTGCCTCTCAGCGAGAAAGTCGCTAGATCAAATCCCAGTCTGGGGGCCTTTCTGTGTGGAGTTTGCATGTTCTCTCTGTGCATGCGTGGGTTTTCTCCAAATACTCCAGTTTCCTCCCACAGACCAAAAACATGCATGTTAGTCTGATTGGTAACTCTAAATTGTCTTTAGGTGATAGAGTGAATGGTTGTTTGTCTCTATGTGTCCCTGTGATGGACTGGAGACATGTCCAGGTTGTCCCCCGCTTCTCGAACAGTGATTGATGGATATGGGCACCAATGACCCTCGTGACCCAGAAAGGAAGAAGTGGGTAAAACATGATGGATGGATGGATGTTTATTTATTTAGAAAGTAGAAACAAGCTGGAGTTAAAAATGTCTAATTTGTCTTGCAGGACCCATATTTCAGGTTTAATGATTTATCATATCGATGGATTGCACTTGACAATTGGACGTACACAACTACATTCACCGTTTCTTCCCAGATCAGGTGAGTGTGTTGATGCTTTTGTCTTAAAGATGAGTTTCAGCTGCCTGTACATGACCTGCCAGCTGCGTGTCGTCTTCATTCACAGGGCCAAGCAGAAGGTGCTTCTTGTTTTTGACGGTGTGGACACCGTTTCCTCCATCTCACTTAATGGGATTGTTGTCGGGAGGACGGATAACATGTTTCGTAGATATGTGTGTTAAAAACTAAAGTTTCACAATGTGCATTTTTATTTGTCAGCAAGTCATTACTCAAAGAATCTGTTTGGTGTAGGACTTGTCAGTCAGGGACCTGCTGCAGGATGGTGATAATCTTCTGCAGGTTCGTTTGCTCTCACCAGTCCTTTACGCCTTGGAGCGGAGGAACGCTCACTCGTCCTACAGAGTGCCCCCCGAGTGTCCCCCGGATGTCCAGAAGGGGGAATGCCACGTCAATTTCATTCGAAAAGTAAGAACCAAATAACGTTTTGTATTAAAATATGACATGTAAGACATTTTTACCTTCTTGTTGCTGCAGGAGCAGAGCTCGTTCAGTTGGGACTGGGGACCCTCGTTTCCCACAGTGGGTTTGTGGAAAGACGTTCGACTGGAGGTGTTTGATGTCTTGCAACTCATCCAGCTTTCTTCTCTTCCCTTGTACAGTATGTTTCACTGAATGTGACTTGTTTATTTTTACATCTCTACAAGAAGAGTGAGAACAGAGGATCAGCAGTATTCTAAATGGCAACAGGAAAGGTTAAGTCGTGTCATCTGGACCAGTTTGTTTAAGTGAGAAACGTTTCGTCCCCCATCCAGAGGACTTCCTCAGTCTACGGCCTGCCCACTGAAGTCATCTGGATGGGGAACAAAACTTTTCTCTAAAAGAAACTGGTCCAGATTACACGATTTAGCCTTTTTATTGTTCTATACATGGATGATTGAACCTACAACCTTTATTCTAAATGACCTTTGGCTCATTCCTCATGTGACTGAACGTGTTGCGTTATTTATCTGCACAGGAGCAGTTGTGCAACATGCACTAGCTCAACAAATAAAGGAGCTTATTTTTGAAGTTTTGTGCATTCTTGTAGCTTTCTAAGCGGCAGGGTTTAGTTTTAAAGTGCAAGTCGAGTCAAATGTATTTATAAAGCCCATTTAAAACAGCAGCTGTTACCAGAGTGCTTCACAATAAGATCAAGGCAGTAAATAAAAATAACAAGATGTAATTAAAAGCAACAAAAATAAAAACATGCACATAACAATGAGAAATGATGAAATACTAAATCAAGTCGCACTGTGTTAAACGTCAGAGAAAACACATGTTTTTAGGAGAGGTTTAAAAACAGGAAGTGAAGTGACCTGTCTAATGTTGGGGCCAGATTGTTCCAGAGTTTAGGGCCCATGACTGAAAAAGCCCGATCTTCTCTGAGCTTCAGCCTGGTTTTGGGGGGTTGAGATGGTGTAGTAGAGGTAGAGCAGCTGACTCAGGACCAGAAAGTCACAGTTCGACCCCCAGCCAAGCCCACATGTTGTGGTGTCTCTGAGCAAGACACCCAATCCCTAATTGCTCCCCGGATGCTTACATAGCTTCCCACTGCTCCACCTGGGTGTATCTCACATGTGATGGGTTAATGCAGAGAACTCATTTTGCCATTGAATGGAAACATAGAATGATGACAATCTCTTTGGTACAACCAAAAGCAGCAGGTCAGATGATCTCAGCGCCCGAGAAGGAACATATGGTTGAAGTAGGTCAGAGAGATATGAGGGTGCAAGGTCATTTAGACACATAAGGTCAACAGGAGAATTTTAAAACCAATTCTGACACATCCAGGGAGCCGGTGAAGAGAGGACAGAACTGGTTGAATGTGCTCAAACCTACGAGTTTCTGTTAAGAGCCGAGCTGCAGCATTTTAAATGAGCTGGAGACATGAAAGCGTGACCTGAGACCTGGCTGACCCCAACATAAAGCGCGTTACGGTAGTCTAGCCAGGTTGTAACAAATGCATGGACTATTTTTTTCAACATATTTTAACATATAGATAGGCCTGTTGCAGTAAACAATAAATCAATTAATCACATGATAAATGGAAATTATCAACCTCATTTTCATTTATCGGCTTTTATCGTTTTTGTGTTTCTCTTTTTCTACTGAAGACACTGGATGACAAAAGGCTCAACTCTGGTGCTCTTCACTGACCTCTCCCTTTCTCTTTTTTCTTTAAAATCTATTTTAACCATCCAAAATCACGTGTTTGGGTCGTTAAAAGCAGCTAAGCTACGAACTAAGCTAACAGGCTGACCTCGGGAAAAACCTCCATCTTGTTGAAGCTCCAAAAGTCACGTTTGAAACCTGTGCCTTTGTGTAAAAAGTTGTTTTTCTCTGCAAAAAGAAGCTGAGAACTTGTTTACTCTTTTTATTAAAAGCTTTGTGTGAAAAATGCTATGCTAAAAAGCTCAAACCACACTGAACGTCCGACATTTTGAGAACCAAAAAAACAGGAATGAGAGACAACCCATGTCAAGTCAAGGGGCCTCCCTCCCGTTTTTCTTAAAAAGATGCTGCTCGCTCCCTCACTATCCATCCTTCAGTTCAGACGGTCTGATACTGCCATCCGGTGGTCAAAAATGGTACTACACACAAAACAACCAACATTTCTTCTTAAATTTGACAATAATGACTAATTATTGTCAACTTTCAAACAATATTATCGTTTATCGCAATAATTTCTGAGACAATTATTCACCCAGCAAAATTAGTTATCGTGACAGGCCTACATACAGTATAGACAGAAAGATGTGGGATAGTTCAGGTTTTAGTTCTACTTGTGTGTGTTTTATTGTAACAGCAGCTGATTCTTGTGTTTGGATGATTTCCTCTGTAAATAAATGCACTAGTTCAGTTTATCGATTTGTTTAGTTTTATTCAGACTTGTGATTTGTTGCCATCTTGTTTCAGACCACAGTTCCTCACAGTGGAGGCTGCAGGTTGAGCTCCTGGTTGATGCCGTGCCGAGCACCAGTAGCCAAGTGGAGCTCTCGTTATCAGAGCTGGACTCAGAGCGAACCGTCCACACACAGTTTCTGCAGGGACGGCTAAAGTACAGCTTCACCGTACACATCAACCAGGTGCACGGAACGGCTTTTTTTTAAATTTAAGCATACTTTATTGTCAACAAAATCAAATTCCTACATTGTTTTTTGGTTATCCAGAGCAGCAAGGTGGATCTTTGGTGGCCCAGTGGACACGGCAGTCAGCCTTTTTACCATCTCACTGCCAGAGTATTTCAGGATAAAGATTTAATCCTGAGCTCAAAGTCGAAGGTCAGACTTTACTGCCTGTGAGAACAAAATATCTTCTTGTAGTTTTTTGATAAAATGTCTACATGTATACATTTGCAGTAAAAAACAATGGGTTTAAATAGAAAATATTAAATTTAGTCTTTTCTCGGCAACTTTACAGAGAAAGGCCCTTCATAATATTTTTTAACTTGAAATAAGTTTGTTGTAAAAAGTAGTTTTTAGTCATTTTAAATGCTAACATGTCGTTGCTGCAGGTGTATTTTCGCACAGTGGATCTGATCCAGGAACCAATTGTTGGATCTCCAGGGTTGAGCTTTTATTTTTGCATAAATGGGAAACTGATTTTCCTCAAAGGCTCCAACTGGATCCCAGCTGACTCCTTCCAGGACCGAGTCAGTCCTGCTGTGTGAGTTGAGTTTGAACTGGGTCCCTGAAACACTCGCAGCTCTTGTTTTGAGTGAAAACTGAAGTTTGCTGAAGAAGCTGAAACTTACATATTTAAATATTGTTAAATATTAATTGAAAATTACACCAGCATTCACACTATTATTTCAGTGCTTTTTGAAATCAAACAAACTTTGATGAGTTTATATTTGTAACTGTTTGCTTTCTGTGTTTCAGTTTAAGGAACTTGCTTCAGTCATCAGTGGATGCTAACATGAACGCCCTCAGAGTCTGGGGAGGTGGAGTATACGAACAGGATCTGTTCTACAGCATCTGTGATGAGCTGGGGATCATGGTAAATGCTGCTGTTTCCAAAAGTAAACCTTAATGGACGTGTTTTATCATAATGTAGCCAGGTTTCTCAGTTTTGTGCAGCTTCTTGCTCTAAAGCGTTTCAGATACAATGAAGATTTTCAGAAAAAAGGGGTGGATTATTTATCATATCTCTGGTTTACAATCAACATGATTTAAAAACTGGTGTGTAGTTTAAAGTCTGTGCTTTTGACCCAAATTAAAATGGAGTTGCTGAGTTTTTTTATGTATTTTTGGAGTCACTGAAATGCTGTGTCTTTTCTGCTAGAGCGGCTAAAATCGATGATGTGACTATCATATGTCGATTGGCTCTGGGTGGGGGGTGTTCTTCAGTCAGAGCAGGCAGGGCAGGAGACTTGAGAAGGCTGAGCACCACTTGTTTTTAATTGCGCTCTCCAGTAAAACTGTTTTGTTTCGATCTGACGAACGCCATCTTAATGTTGATTTTTTTTTTCCTTAAAACCCAACCCAAAAGCTCTCGTATGAGGCGGACGCTTTCTCTTTCCTCTCCCGTCCTCCTCCTGCTTTTTTTTCTCTCTGTCTGTGTATCGGAGCTCCTATTTTACACATCTATTGAAATGAAAACTAATGTCATGGATCTGGTGAGCTGGACTTCCAACGCAATCAACAAAATCTTTTCAACAAAGTGACAGGGTCCTGGAGAGCCCTCACGTCCCGCTGAGACTCAAGCTGCAGGATACGTCATGGATGTGGGAGCCGTTTTGTCTCAGGAGGACGCCAACGACATATATAATTGTATTTATGATAACAGGTTTCCTGCTTTTTGGAATCGGCTGGTTCCTGGTTTATCGACATATAAGAAGATGGCTGCAGCTAATTTGGCCCTTGTCAGGCTGCATGTCTTGTGAAGGTTTGGTTCATGCTACGAGTACTCAAAATCAGCTGATTTACGAGTTAAACCATAAGATTGAAGAGATTTGTGAGAATCACAGGCCTGCAGCTTCTGGGAATCACCAGCATGTTGAAAACAACCTTGGAGGAGGCTCATGGCACGGACAAGTGGAATGCCCACAAATCTGGTCATTTTGGATTGAAAGTACCAGCAGGACTCAAGGCTGGCAAGAAAAAAACAGTCTGCTTGAAAAAATCAACAATTGTGGCTTATCTGAATCTGACTCCCCTATTTGGCCTCGAAGCAGGCCGACTCATCAAATTTCTCCTGGGATATGTGTAAAGTAGGGCTGGTCCATATCATATCATTCACGATAATACCGGTAAAAAAGCTTGCCTGGGTAAATAAATGATATCAGGATATGCTAATTTCATGACGCAATACATCAGGGCGCCCCGCCCCGTTAACAGAACTGAGCGCGCTGAACGACCACACCGAATTGCGTAACACCCCCCCCCCCCCCCCCCCAACTCCACCTGTCGGTACTGGTGTGACGCTAATTAGTTGTGCGCAATACTAGCTAGCTGAAAAGCTAAAAACAAACAACGCGCGGCTCAACTGTCTCTCCCTCCCCCCCGCTCTAAGCTGCCGGTACAAACACAACTCATCTTTTTTTCTCTCTCCCCACCCTGCTCTGGGCTGCCGGTGCGGGCTTCATCTCCCCCGCTCTAAACTGCCGGTACAAACATGCGCAGGTCTGTCTCTTAGTTCCACAGTCCATGGAGCCAGAACAGAGTCAGGTGATCAGAGACAGAGCATCAGAGAAATGAATCATTCCTGCAGGAACAGAGGAAGCTGAAACACCACAAGCTTCAGGGTCAGCTGATCACCTTGTTACAAGTTCTGGAAGTTATAGCTCATTTAAAGTCAACATATATTTTGTTACATTTATGCTCAGCAGGTCTTAAGCTTCATTTTATTTAGTTATTTTGGCAAACTGCACCTGCACTTTAGTTTTTGTGGTTTGTAGTTATTCTGGACAGCAGTCAGGTCGGCAGTCTTACCCATGATTGCGGTTTTGAGTAATGAACAAGGCTGGGAGTTTTTAAAAGCCTCGGGAATCTTTTGCAGGTGTTTAGAGTTACGTCGTTGATTCAGATGGTTAGGTTAATAGCTTGTTTAAAGAACCTTTTCATGATATGCTAATTTTTTGGGACAGGCATTTTGGGTTTTCATGAGCTGTATGCCATAATCATCAGTATTAAAACAATTAAAGACCTGAAATATTTCAGTTGGTGTGCAATGAATCTGAAATATATAAAAGTTTCATTTTTATCATTACATTATGGAAAATAATGACCTTTATCACAATATGCTAATTTTTTTAGAAGGACCTGTAGATTGAATACTACTACTACTAAATAAAGAAATTTCAGTAAAATTACCCCTTGTTTTTTTTATTTTATTGTATATAATACTGCAAAGCAACTTAAGTTAATTTTATCAAATAAATAGGTACGATTTCTCTTTTTTTTTTGTTATATCACAAAATTTATCGTTCTTGTCGGAATGCTCTGAAATATCACAATATTTGAGCCATATCGCCCACCCCTAGTGTAAACTAAGGAAAAGCTTCTTCTATCCCCCCCCCCCCCCCCCCACACACACAAAAAAGAACTTCTGTGCAGGCTTATCAGAACTTGTGTCGGCTAACCAACATCTTATCAGGACTATGGTCTATCTGGAAGTGCTTCATGTTCAGATCTCGCCGTCAAATGCATGTAACGTGTTCATAAATGTTCTGCTGGTAGAGTTTTTTGACGTCTTGAATCATGTCCTGATAGGACAAGATGTGAAGAGATCTTTTTTGTACAAACCGGATTCCAAAAAAGTTGAAACACTAAACAAATTGTGAATAAAAACTGAATGCAATGATGTGGAGGTGCCAACATCTAAAATTTTATCATCCATCCATTATCTTTACTCGTTTGTTCCATTTTGGGTCACGGGGGTCGCCGGTGCCCATGTCCAGCAATCACTGTGCGAGGGGCGGGGTACACCCTGGACGGGTCGCAAGTCCATCACAGGGACACATAGAGACAAACGAGACAAACAACCATTCACTCTCTCATTCACACCTAGGGACAATTTAGAGTTACCAATCAGCCTAACATGCATGTTTTTGGTCTGTGGGAGGAAACCGGAGTACCCGGAGAAAACCCACGCATGCACGGAGAGAACATGCAAACTCCACCCAGAAAGGCCCCTGGAACGGGGTTTGAACCAAGGACCTGCTCGCTGAGAGGCAGCAGCTCTACCATCTAATATTTTATTCAGAATAGAACACAAATCACAGATCAAAAGTTTAAACTGAGAGAATGTATCATTTTAAGGGAAAAATCTGTTGTTTCCAAATTTCATGGCGTCAACAAATCCCAAAAAAGTTGGGACAAGTCCATTTTTACCACTGTGTGACATCCCCCCTTCTTCTTACAACACTCAACAGACGTCTGGGGACAGAGGAGACCAGTTTCTCAAGTTTAGAAATAGGAATGCTCTCCCATTCATGTCTAATACAGGCCTCTAACTGTTCAATCGTCTTGGGCCTTCTTTGTCGCACCTTCCTCTTTATGATGCTCCAAATGTTCTCTATAGGTGAAAGATCTGGACTGCAGGCTGGCCATTTCAGTACCCGGATCCTTCTCCTACGTAGCCATGATGTTGTGATTGCTGCAGAATGTGGTCTGGCATTATCGTGTTGAAAGATGCAGGGTCTTCCCTGAGAGAGATGTCTAGATGGGAGCATATGTTGTTCTAGAACCTGAACATAGTTCTCTGCATTAATGGTGCCTTTCCAGACATGCAAGCTGCCCATGCCACAAGCGCTCATGCAACCCCATACCATCAGTGATGCAGGCTTCTGAACGGAGCATTGATAACAGCTTGGGCTATCCTTGTCCTCTCTGGTCTGGATGACATGGCGTCCCAGTGTTCCATAAAGAACTTCACATCGTGACTCATCTGACCACAGAACAGTTTTCCATTTTGCCACACTCCATTTTAAATGACCCCTGGCCCAGTGCAAACGTCTGAGCTTGTGGAGCTTGCTTAAAAATGGCTTCCTCTTTGCACTGTAGAGTTTCAGCTGGCAACGGCGGATGGCACGGTGGATTGTGTTCACTGACAATGCTTTCTGGAAGTATTCCTGAGCCCTGAGAGACACTGATACTCTGAGAAGCTCTTTTTATACCTAATCATGTTGTCAATTGACCTAATTAGTGTTAATTGGTCTTCCAGCTGTTCGTTATATGCTCAATTTCCATTTTCCAGCCACTTATTGTTACTTGTCCCAACTTTTTTGGGATTTGTTGACACTGTGAAATTTTGAATCAACATATTTTTTCCTTTAAAATGTTACATTTACTCAGATTAAACTTTTGATCTATCATCTATGTTATATTACGAATAAAATATTGACATATACCATCTCCACATCATTGCATTCAGTTTTTATTCACAATTTGTTTAGTGTCCCAACTTTTTTGGAATCTGGTTTGTAATACCACTATCCATCCTCATGGCTATTATCTCTTTTCTGTCTAAAAAAAAAAGTATTCTGAAAAAGGATAAGAGGCTGCACTCCTGTAGCAGCAGCAACGTGCACTCTGCCCATCCTTCGGATGACTGTACAAAAATAATCTCACTGTATCCTGGTACAATGGTAATAAAGCTTATTCTGATTCTGATTTGTTCAAGTGTTAAAGTCTTGGGTAAAATAAGAAATAGCAGAGCAGTATTGGATGTGTGATTTTGTTTGTAAGACCAGTATGACTCATAAACATGTTGCTGGAAAGATGGCAGCTCACAGTATTGAACTGTGTATGTTTAGGTTTGGCAGGATTTCATGTTTGCCTGTGCCATGTATCCCACTGAGGACGACTTTATTCAGACAGTGAGGGAAGAGGTCATCCAACAGGTGAGGAGGATCGCTGTAGTATTTTTTTGATTTTGAACATGAAATATGGTAATTAAAACACAAGGCCAGGATTCTTCACACATCTTAGTTCATTAGGTTTAAAGATGACAACCAAAATAGTGCAAAAATAGATGTGTCATCATCAAAACCACCAATCCCTAAGATTTTTCTTTCTCTCTTTTTATGTCTCATTTTTGTCCTTCAGGTCCGGCGCCTGAAGTCTCATCCCTCCATCATAATTTGGAGCGGGAACAATGAAAATGAAGCTGCATTGGCAACCAACTGGTTCAACATCCCAGCTTCCCAGACGCCAACATACATCAAAGACTACGTGAAGCTTTATGTGGACAACATTAGAACAATTGTACAAGAGGTTAGATTTTTATTTTTAAATACATTTGAACTCCTGTAGAAATCAGAGTACAATATATTATAATATATTAAATCTACCTCAGGAGGACCAGAGTCGTCCGTTTCTTGTATCCAGTCCAACTAACGGGGCAGAATCTGAGCAGGAGGGATGGGTGGCAGCAGACCCCTATGATCCTCACTTTGGAGACGTTCATTTCTACAGCTACAGCCTTGATTGCTGGGACTGGAGAACATTTCCTCGGACCCGCTTTGCCTCTGAATATGGCTTCCAGTCCTGGCCTTCTTTCTCCACTCTGCAGCCGGTAAATAGGAATTATACTGTAGATTCATATTGCCAGAATTTCAGAATCAGAAACTATATTAAGCAGGCTGAAGCATTAACATAGGAATTTCAGACACATGATGTGTCATTTGAGTCAGAATACAGCACTCCGGGTACTCCAGTTTCCTCCCACAGACCAAAAACATGCATGTTAGGCTGATTGGTAACTCTAAATTGTCCCTAGGTGAGAGAGAGAGTGAATGGTTGTTTGTCTCGTTTGTCTCTATGTGTCCCTGTGATGGACTGGAGACCTGTCCAGGGTGTCCCCCGCCTCTTGCACAGCGACTGCTGGATATGGGTACCAGTGACACCCGCGAGCTGAGAATGAAGAAGTGGGTAAAGAGGATGGATGAATGGATGGATGGATGATTGACTTTGTAGTAGTGTCATCTGATTTGCGACCATTTGTTTGGGACATTCGGGTGAAGGGACGAGCTGAGCTGTCAACTGATCCCCACACCTGGTAGTAAGTTACTAACAGTGTTTTAAGTGAAGGTGGGGTGCTGTTGACCTGAACCAGTGATGTCATCAGGAGGTGGAAGGAATACTTCTCAGACCTTCTCAATGGTCGTGGGACTTTGGTGTTGGTCTGTCCATTAGAGCTGTCATTTCTAACCTGGACCGAGCCAATATATTGTGCTGGATGGGCGGGCCGGGTCGGTGTCAGGCTTTTGATTGTGTCAGTGGATGCACGTGGCTGATGATCCAAATTGGATCACCAGCCGTTTCACCGTGCTATCTGGCTAGTTGAAAGAGGTTAAAAATGTTCATATGGACCTCTACCAGTGACCCACCTGAAACTTATGGGTGGGTTAGTGGGTTGGTTGGCAGGTGGGTTGGGTTTATATCTATTAAAAAAAAAAACATGTAAACTATTTGGGAAGAAAAACCTTAATTTAAAATGGAATTTAGGACTTAAGTAACTTCAATCTTGGTACTTCAAAGCTGAAAAAAACTTTTATATACCAGTATATTTGTATCTTTTGTTATGTGGTACACCAAAGATTTCTATACCAGAAGACTGGAGCTTCGACAGTAACTTCACCTCCCATCGTCAGCATCACAACAGTGGAAACCAGCAGATGTTGCAGCAGGCTGCTCTCCACTTCAACTTACCAAACTCTACTGATCCTCTAAAAAGATTTAAAGATTCTATCTACATCACTCAGGTAAACCACTCAAGCCATACTTCTATCATCTAGTGCTTACTACTGTAATACTACAGTACAATGTACATAAATTCATGAATTCATGTTTTCATTCATCAGGCGGGCTTAGTATGTGTGTGTGTGTGTGTGTGTGTGTG